CCCAAAACCCCAAAACCCCAAAACCCCAAAACCCCAAAACCCCAAAACCCCTCTGCATGAATTTGCAGCATGAAGTTTAATTTACCTAAGAATTAAAAATAATAATTCAATTATTGAGTGTCTCGCTAGTTATAGTTTATGAAGCTGGGGTATCATTGAGAAACCTCATTTTACTATTTGACATTTAGCTCATTTCTTCTTTCATTCTTGAAGTGTTTTCCTCCTCCATAATAGTATCATTTATATCAAGAGGCAAATCATCTTTCAAGTTTTAGACGAATTAATCGTATTTTTGCAAATTCTAATGTAAGTTATTAATCTTATCCTTAATACTTTAGACAGATTTTTAGAATTACTCTTCATTTTATTGGTCAATAAAATTACCTGAAAGTGGTCTTTCAATGTTAACTGTGTTAATGTTATTAATTTAGAGATTTATAAGAGTAGGATTTTCAAAGAAACGATGATGTTTGTCAGAATTAATAAATTTTCTTCTAGGAGTCTCATTACTATCAGCATGGGTATTGGTCCTTGGTGTACTAAACATATTTGAGTTCATAGGTTTAGCATTCTAAATAATTTTTCTTTAAGTCTTTGATTGAATAAATTTTGGATAGATACTCTTATGGATGCCTTGTTTTGAGCTATTTTCGCTCAGTTACTTCTGGTTATTATCAAACATATCTGTCTTTTATATTAATCTATACAATGGATCGTTTTTAATGATTTCACCTGTATTAACTAAAGTTTTTTCTTTCTAGTATTGTTCATTAGTCATTTAATGATGTCCATTCCAATCAGATGAGTTATATACTAATCCATTATTTATTAAAGGTCTCTTTCTATTCTTCTTTTTTATTTAATTTTTATAAGGGCTATAACTTGAATTTGCTTAGAGTCTATTGGATTTAACCTCAGTTGTCTATTTCTTGATCATAAACTCTCTATTTTAAAGTACACTGCGATCAAAAGGTAATCCAGTTTATTAGGATTAAGGATAATTTTAATAAGGGATAGATTCATTTTCGTTTATCACAGACCCAAAATGTATTTCGTTTTACGATTTAAATTCAATAGAATCTCTTCTGGCATGCTGATGGATTCTTTTAAATTTATCTGTTAATTCTAGATCTTATCTGTAGTTACGATAAAAATTGTTATCACTCTTTTTGAATTTATTCCTTAGCTATTAAGCCTCATTATGATTGTTGCTTGCACCAATTTGAAAGTACTCATTTGAAGTAGTAGATTATAATTGTATTTCATTTTATAGTTGCTACTATCGCTATTTGGTTTAAGAGAATATTTTTCGATTTGAGCTCTTTGGATTTAACTTAGGAGAATTTCCTGTATATATACCCTCAAGCATTTTTTTCTTTTGACTAATTAGTCTACGATTCTTCTGCTGAATATTGTAGTTATTTTAGCTGCTATCTTTCATTAATCTTCTAATACTTGTCTCTCTGCTCTACTGCATAGCTTCAACTATACTATTATCGTTGTGCTAGAAATATCCTCTATTAAAACTTACATTAGTCTAATATCCATCTATTTTAGTGTGATTAGATTAGGCTTGATTTGTAAGAGGAATTTAATTCCCATTCTAATTAGTATTATTATGAGTTCCTCCTGAGGCGTTTCCCTTTCGAATGGACTCTTGATTGTTAAAATTCTTCTTGTAAAGTAATTGCAAATGATTTAAGTTGGCTATTTCTTTGGACTAAGAAATTCTATTAGCGCTTTATTGCCTCAACTTTTATATCCTCTGAGTTAGTTTCTTGAATTACTTTGATGACTCAAAAATTGTGGCAATTTGAGCACCACTGCCAACGCCACCTTCTTTACTTTAGCTGTTGCTGAGTGGATTGCTCATCAATACGCCTTCAACCATTATTTAACTTTTAGTGTTTTAGTATTAGCTCCTTCCAGCCTCACCTGGTGGTTGCATGAAGTAGTTAATGAGTTACTTAGAGTTTATTTTGGAGATATTCGAGCTTGACTAGTTCAGATCTTAGGTTAACTTTTCAGCAATCTATGGCACCTTAGGCTCTCAATTTAACTCATAAATAGGACGTAGATTGTTTTTAATCTAAACTCTTGAAGAAATTACTCTACCATCTGGTTACTGAACAGTCGGGTAAGGATCTTGATAGCCGTTTAACTAGTGATGCCTACTAGTTTATTACTCACTTTATGAGAAAGTAAGGCCATTTGTGCCCTAAAATTTGATTTATTACTCCATTAAATTTTTATTTAATTTTTGATAATTTAACTTTTATTAATATTGTTTGAGTCTTACATTATTTACAAGTATTTAATTATTTTTAATTGTCATTCTAAGGAATAAAGTTTAAATTTTTAATAGTCTAAATCTTTCTCTAAAATAACTACTTAGAGACATGGCTTAGTTCTTAGGATAGAATATCAACGTGATAGAGTTAAAATAACCAGGACATAATTTTATTCCTCTAGCTTTCAATAGGAGATGACGACATAGGTTAAACACCATTGTACATTTCTTCAAACTTCACCGTAATCTTGATTTAATCTAATCGAAACTCAAGCTTAAAAACCTATATACTCAATTAAGCCCTAAAAATCTTTTACAGTTGAATACAACTTTATCAATTTACACTAAAGAAAATAATAGTAGACATTATTTTAAAAGAATAACTTATTTTTAATGAAGTGAATATGCTAAGGATTATGGGGTTTTGGGGTTTTGGGGTTTTGGGGTTTTGGGGCTTGGGGAA